AAGTTCACCCCCCAGCGGGGTCCCACGTCACGGCTGTCTCACCAGCAGCACTGCCCGCTGCCAAACTAGAGAGCGTCCCGTTGTTCCTCCTGAATTCTTCACGCTTTTCCCAAAGAGGACGCCGGTGCTTCAGGGCTGCAGAGAGGAACGGCTCTTCTGGAGGAGTCCCACGCAGAATAGGATGGCCCGAGGAGCCACCTCGGGGATGCAGCTCCCAAGCACATACTCTTCTCACCTCCGCGCGCTCCAAGAATTGATGATGCTGATGCTCCAGCTGGTTGTGTGGTTCCCAGGCGGTGAGCAGCTAAGCGGAGAAGTTAAACATCAGCTGGTTACGTGGACGGCTGCAAGCTACCTCTCTGAAACAGCCAGCCATGCTCCTGGCCTGGCCCTCTCTTCGGCAGTTTGCGGAGCAGGAAAGGCAGGACAGCTGCTACCACCGTGTCGGCAGGAAGATGTGCAAAACTGAAGACACTCAAATACAGGATCTGACCGAAAACCAAAGTTGGGGCTTGCAAAATACAACACAAATCCATCAGGGCGTTTTACTCCAACTAAAATGCACAGGGTCCAAGACTGCTACCACCTGATCATCGTAACACACCCAACAGCCGACCTTCCATTACAAAGCAATGAAGAAAATCTTGCAGAAAAATGATGCAGAGAAAGCATCACGCTAGGTAGCGACCTGCCACAGGATCAGGAACTGGGGGCGTGGGTATGGACACTAGAGGAGCAAATTCAAATATACAGAAAGCCTGATCCTGAACAGATGCTAAGAGAGAAAAAGGGAGGAAAAAAAGCACTATTTTGACAACACCTACGTAACTTGTCACGGCAAAGTACTACTGAACTGTTACTGCTTGGTCGCCTTTTAGACAGTTGAAGGCTCAAGTGCAATGGTTGGAGAAGACAGCTACTTGCAAATATGAGCAGGCTCTGACGTACCTGGAGTACCTTACAGGCACCAGCTGGAGCAGTCTTATCCTTTCAAACATATCTTCACTCAGGCAAAAACAAATAAAAATTTTTAAAAAAAACATACTGGCACCTATTCTTTAGCCCTGTAGAAACAGCACAGCTGCTGTATGAGGAGCTGGAGCCCCTGGGCTCATGCATCAGCAGACTGGCGAACGCAGAACCAG